TACTTCCTTAGCAGGATGTCATTGTCATGACTCTGCTGATCAACTCTAGTGGCACATGTGCAGTTGGCTCCCTCTTCTCGTTACAGTTGTGGTTGTGGTTAAAAGCTACTCCTGTTTTTTTTTTTTTTTTTTTGTACAAACTGAATGGTTTTAGTTCCCTTTGTTTTCTAAAGAATTCTAGACTTCATAGAGCAGTGGATTAGTTTGAACGGTAAAACCAAGAAACTATAAATAGTTTTTTGCTTTCAACATCCCATATTTCATTTAGACACCACTCTAGCATTTGTACATTTTCCCTAGGAATCAATGAAAGATGGGAATGAACCTGAGCTATAAATTTGCCTTTGGAAGATGTAATTCGATTAGTGGCCCAAGGAGTAATTTGATTTCTTTGAAAGCTGTTTATCAGTATTTTATGACTGCAAATGATGAATGATGAGAATTCTCTCGCACAGTTGTTATTTTTAGCTGTAGCTTGACATTCCTCAGTTTTCTGCAAGATTAAGCTCTGTGTTTAAATGTTACAATTTTCATTACTAAGCCATCTTTTAAATTTTACTTTACAGATCAATACTCAGAATTTTGAAGGCCACAAACTTTCTGATGGTGGTGGTAAGCCATGGCGGCAGATGATAAAGTTGCCATCTTAACTGATGATGAAGAGGAGCAGAAGAGAAAATACGTGCTTGCTGATCCCTTTAACGGTATTGCCAGGGAACCAGCACCCCCTTCCAATGAAACACCCTCCTCCACAGAAACATCTGCTATCCCTGAGGAGGAAATAGACTGGATAGAGAAACACTGTGTTAAAATAAACAATGATCTTCTAATTTCCAAGGTCTTTTATTTTTTCTTTTACTCTGCATATGGCTCTCTCTACCCACTTTTGCCTGTGTATTATAAACAGCTGGGAATGTCCCCAAGTCAGAGTGGACTGCTAGTAGGTATTCGATACTTCATAGAATTCTGCAGTGCCCCCTTTTGGGGTGTAGTTGCAGATCGCTTTAAAAAAGGCAAAATTGTCCTCCTCTTTTCTCTTTTGTGTTGGGTTCTATTCAACCTGGGCATTGGATTTGTCAAACCTGCTACCTTGAGATGTGTACCAAAGATTCCCCCAACAGCTCACCCCACCAATGCAAGTCACCTGATAACCATCCTGCCAATGAATTTTTCCAGTATCTCTTCTCCTATCACACTTGGCTCCCCATCACCAAAAACACGTGAGAAAAGGAACCTGCCATTGATGTTGGAAACAGAGCCCAATATCTCAGAACCTACTATCTTTTCAGCAGCTCCAAGCAAGAGAAGTGAACCCACTCTGCAGCCTCAGACAGGTGAAATTACTGACCACATTATGGACTTGATCTTAAGCCCAAGCACAGCAACCCCTGTGCCCCTAGGAAACGTAACCAGAGAGACAACCACTGCTACTGTCACTACTACCAAATCTTTGCCTTCTGCCCAAGTCACTCTTATTTATGATCAACAAGAAGTCGAAGCTATATTCTTGGTTATCTTGGTAGTTGTCATAATAGGAGAATTTTTTAGTGCCTCTTCAGTCACGATTGTGGACACTGTAACACTCCAGTATCTGGGAAAGCACAGAGACCGCTATGGACTGCAGCGCATGTGGGGTTCCCTGGGCTGGGGCCTTGCAATGCTCTCTGTGGGCATCGGGATCGACTACACCCACATAGAAGTGCTCATTGATGGCAAGGGCTGTAAGCCCCCTGAGTACCGTAACTATCAGATTGTCTTCATCGTCTTTGGAGTTCTCATGACCATGGCCTTGATTGTCGCTACTCAATTCCGGTTCCGCTACAACCACTTCAACAACAACGATACTAAAGGGAAAGAGGTGGAAATCCCTCAGGTGGAGAGGAACAACTCCACAGAGTCCTCTGAGGAGACACCAACCACCATCAGCCACTCACAGGCCTTCAACTTTTGGGACTTAATCAAACTTCTTTGCAGTGTGCAGTATGGCTCAGTGCTGTTTGTGGCTTGGTTTATGGGTTTTGGATATGGCTTTGTGTTCACCTTCCTCTACTGGCATTTGGAAGACCTGAATGGAACTACAACCCTCTTTGGGGTCTGTTCAGTCCTGAGTCATGTGTCTGAGCTGACAGCTTATTTTTTTAGTCACAAGCTTATTGAACTGATTGGCCACATCAGGTAAGAAAATGCTTACTTGGTATTGCTGCTCCTTCGCAAGTGAACTTTATCTTTTTATAGTTTATAGCTCCTTTAAGCACATTTAAGGATATTATAATTTGTTCTGGGGGTCAGGTGGGGGTGGGAATGAAGTTTTTTGTTGTTCTTCTTCCTTAACAAAGAAACAAGGAAGACTGTCAGGAACCCAGTTCGATTACCAAAAATAAACAAAAATGGCTGCCGCCTCTCTCCTGCCCCTCAGAAAAGGCATACAGACAGCTTAGCTGTGTGCTAAGAGAATTTTACAGTAAATTTTTTCAAGTATAGGAGATCTAACCTAGTGAATTGTATATTTTATTCCTTGGACTTTGAAGGGCCCCCCTATGCCAGGCATTTATGAAGACGGGCTTAACTGGATAAAGTAGATTGTATTTTTTTCAGCCTGTATTTATCCTCAGCCACTTGCTGTCATAGATAGAACTTGAAGATATAAAGATGTCCATTACATTTAATAAGGCTGTGGCATACTATATGGGAGAGATATGTGGAAGTCTGCTTCTGTAAAGATTAGAGCCTTGGAAACCCTATGGGCAGTTCTTCTCTGTCTAGAGGGTCACTATGAATTGGAATCCACTTGATGGCAATGGATTGTGAGTGTGTGTGTATGTGTGTACCACTATAATCCCTACACCATAATATTACACGGGGGAGAATCTTAGGTATTTTTATTCTGATTGTTACTTGAGTGTCTGCATTCTTGTCTGCCATGAAGACGTGGAACACTTAAAAATCTTTTTCTACCTAAAATTTCACATGTAATCCTTTTAGTCAAAAAAAATCTATGAATGCTAAGAATGCTTAGCATGTCTTGTGTAATGTTTCTCTCCACTAATGTTTGCCTGAAGCTGATTGAACAGTGCCTTGCTCTTTCTATGTCTTTCTGCTCCGTGGTTAGCTCTAAAATATGGAGCCAGATACATTTAAACGATCTTTCCTTATAGAAAAGTGCCACATATGTGTTTCTAAAATTGGAAGTTGCAGTAACTAAAAGGAAACAAATGTGTGTGTGTGTGTGT